CTTCGCCGCGCGATTCCCTTATACAAATCACTGTTGAAGCATCCCTGCGCGTCTAGGTCACTGACGGTGGTTCATAGATTGAGTACCCGCCTGAGGGACGCGTCGAGGGCCGTTTCTCAAGGCGCATAAGGCGCGAGGTCGATATGTTCTATAGCCATGAGAGTAAATGAATCCAGAGCTGGACTTGCACTTCATGGGGCATTGAGGATGCAAATATTGAGTGATTGTGCTGATTGACTTCTCCTGATAGTTCTTACTTCTCCTGAACATGGAGTTGCTACGGTTTGGTGAGTTGTCGCGTTCCCTTCTTAAATGTGTCTGCTCTATTATACTGACAATGCAATCCTCACAGGCTTGTTGCCACCTTGGGCTCGAAATCCGTCACAAGAAAGTTGAACAAGAAGACTATACTGGATGTGGATGTTCCCAAGACGTGTGGTGTCATAATGGACCCGGTGGCGCCGATGGCTTTAAGGCTTCAAGGAAATCTGCTGTAAGATCTCCTGCTCCGCGGGGAGATGTCTGGGGATTACTTTGCTCATTGGAACGTGCTTCTCTAGGTATGGGGTGTCGAGGGTATACAGCCAACAGTGTGGATACACGCTCACCGATGTCCAAGCAATGCATGACAGAATGAGAGCTCTGTTGAAGGTTCTTCCTGGAGGGGGCCTTGACCCTACAGCAGGAAAGGCTAGGTCTGTTCTCCTGATGTCTTATTACATGCGGACTTTGCGACGGAGTCTCGATGCTTACCATTCATATAGACCAGATCAGCTCATTCTACCCTATGATCCGAGTTTCCTGCCTGAAAATAACCTCCCTGGCTTAGGACTAGATTTTTCAAGTTTGAATCTGTCGATCGATTTGGACCTGAGCCAACAATCAAGTCGGATGTGGCCTCAGACTCCTGATCTTAGCCAATCTGCTCTCTCTCAGACCGCCAGCCTGAAACTGGACTTGTCTTCTAACAGATCATTTGAGGACATAGATGGTTTTAGCGCGGTTACTAGTGTGAGTCGGTATGGAGGGATAGGCATCGATCTTGGCGGCATCGAGTCCCTCCAGTATGGTGAGGAATCCGGTGTGATCCTGCAACCTGACTTTGAATTCGATGAAGATGGAAATATCATCGAGCTTGCTGGATCCGATCAGCCTGAGACAAGATTGCAAGGGAACATACCAGCCATGGAAGAAAGAGCTGCAGATGACATGGAAGTTGACGTGGTAGGAAGCATTGTCATGGAGGATCAGGTACGCCTCAGAAATTACTTATCAATATTTCAATTGCCTGACAAGAGTACGAAATAGCTAGCTTTGCTTGACGAAGAATTCAAAAGAGAAATATCAGGCCTAAAACCGAAAGCCGAAAACGTTGACATGCAGAAGACCACTCACAACCGCGCCTCTATATTTGACCAGGTAATGGAGGATGAAGATGCTGTGGAGTCGAATGCGGCATTACAGCAAAAGAGAAGAGGCCCCAAGGTCATTGGATTAGATGACCAAATTGCACTGCGAAACACTGACATGGCCCAGTTGAATAATAACTATGTGCAGAACATGGCAGCAGCCTCGAAGCAGAAGCAGAGAAACAAGCTTCCAACTTTGGCAAAGAAAAAAGCTGCTTTCTGGGTCTTCGGTCAAGGCATTGGTTCTGTCGGTGTAGGCGTGGGGGTGTCTCATGTCAAGCATCCATTGCATTCTTTCTCAGGGGACCAACTATATGAAAATCTCCAAGATAAATCGAATGATCGAGTACGCAAGCGTCTTCATTCATCCATCGAAGAAGAAGATCCCAATTTCGATACACGACGGATACGCCCAAGGGTGGAGGATGATAATCAGATCGGACGTCACGACGACAGGTTATGGAATGAGGTTTGTATAGGTCGACGTGCTCTCTATGCTTATCGGACCAAAGCTGAAATATTGTACACAGGACGTCGAATATGGTCGCAATGCACCACCCTCTCTTCGCGATGACCACTCCATCCAAATGCCATGGAACATCACAGCATCTATTCAAAGCTCTCGACAGGGCTCGTCTGCTGCGAACATCTTTCGCGGATTCGGCAGCGCCAGTGACTTCTCATCACATGGAGTTTCAGAGACTGGATTTGGAAGAGCACGCAGCCGTCTCACAAGCGCAAGTCCCCTTGCTGGCCGTGGGTTCCCTTTTGACGCTGAAGCGCTCAATGTTATCTCGATTCCTGGAAACGAGATGGGTGAGTTAGAGAACCTTGACGACTTTGACATTTCTCAGTATCTACACACCGAGCTTGCAACGGAGAATGGTGGAGCCTTTGACGAGGATCACATAATGGAAGCAGAAGACCATGGAACACACTCTGTTGTTCAGGGCCTGCAAGTACTCAATGATGACTCACAAAAGTCAACACTTGACCAAGAGGGCTTGAACTTCCTCAAGTACTTGGAATCCATATTCATGACCACGACACCTGCAAATGAAGAGGCAGGCTATGACCCGAATGTTCCAGCCGCGAAAAATCGATCAGTGGCATTCTCCACACTTCTCCCTCCGCAGAAGACCTCTCACATCGTGGCTACTCAGGGCTTCATGCATGTGCTTACACTTGCAACTAAAGGTATACTTTCGGTAAAACAAGAAGCATACGAAGACCAAAGCACAGAAGAATATGGCGTGCGATATAAGTACGGAGAGATTCACTTATGCATACCAGGATTGTAGGAGGCTATTACAGCACAACATTGATCATTCGTTATCATACCTGTAGCTGCAGAATCCCCCATCTGTATTGAGTGCTCATTTCCTATACTATTTCCTACTCTTGCTTGTTTTGAGTAGAGACATGCACATGTCACTCTATTCTATCCATGTTTTCCTTTACATGTTGTGGGTTACATTCCTCTAAGATTCTCGAATAGCTGATCTATCAAATTTACTACTCATACAGTGTCTGAGACACCAAGCCTCCCAAATACAGTTCTAAACAAAATCTTCCGACGCCTCATACCACTATACCAGCATCGTCACCACCACCTTGTTATCAGTACGAAATCCCAAATCCACTCTTGAGCTAGCAAACTAAACCTTCCATGACAGCCTCAAATTTGAATTGGCAAATCAACGTAGAGGAAACCATCTCGATGACGTCTAAAAATACTGACAGCAAGCATACATCTGAAACAAAGAGTGCGTCCCAAGCCAAGCATGCAACACACGAACTACAAACGAAGCGACACAGTACAAGGCGTCGACAAAAGCTCGCGATTGGCCTCGGAAGATTAGGTGGGCCGGTGATCTCATCATCAGAAGAAGATCAGGCCAGGCCAGTCTGGTCTGGTCCAACACAGAAAATGGACAGTAATATTGCAAGCCATCAAGCAACCTTTCAGGGAAACGAAAGCAGTTTTATTTAGAAGTAGTCGAAAAGACATCGTCGTTATTTTTCCCCGGGTGTAAAAACAACGGTGTCGATTAGATCCATACCAGTATGGTATACGAGAGTACTAAGTAAGTAATACACGCTTCCATTGATGGATGCCGCCGTCTACAAACATAATATACAGATAAATACAAGACGGCGTTTATCATCATAGTATGAGGATATACTGAATCCTCAACCTCCCACAATTGAAGCACATTTCGTATTTCACTACTATCCACATTCCTTCAAGTTGCGCAAGCGATGATGATAATGATGTTCAGGGGGTTCCTCTCCAAGACACGGCAAGACACGCGAGGTTGGCGGTGGCTGTGCCGCGCTGCGTCTTGCGTTCCTTACACAGCATACTGTGCTGTCACAAGAAGTTGTGATCGCGAGTAAGTTAATAGTACGCCCAATTTCGATGAATTTAAATTCCCTCGTTTATGTCTCAGGTTTGCGAGTGTGGATTTATCACTGACGTCTTCTGAAGGAATACGGATGGAGACTAGATAGACAACACAGCAAGTTTACTACTTAGTATCCGCGCGGTCCGGCCGTTTAAGTGGTGGCCTTGTGAGACGCGGTATATCGAAACTGTAAATGTGCCGATCGTTCCATACCCTTACGGCGATACCAGTAATGCAGTAGTGGGATACTAAGTATATCTATCAGGTATTAGGGAACGCAATCTATAAGATGGATGTATACAACAGATCTATAATCTACAATGCTGTGGAATAATCTCTCAAAGACGATCGACTACCTGCTGCAGCTGTGCTCGATTTATTTGTATTCCCTGCTCCGATGCATTGAATGGCCTACGCTGATAGGCCTTCAAGCCTCCGCTTATTTTGGGAACGTGGTCGGGCTTTGGTCAGCCTGCCGCGTGACAGAATTTGACTTTGGGGAAGGGAGTTTTGGGACACCCAAGGCCGGAGTGGGACTCTGTTCAAAGGAACAAAGAAAGAAGATAATGAGGGATGAATGGAGAGGAGAAGAGAAGAAGTGAAGAATTGATCAAGCCATCAAGATAGTATCATTAGTAGTGTGTACAGTAAAGTTGAGCGAAACCAGTAATCTCGGTATGTTGGTTCTGTGGACGGACCCCTCGGGATCAAAATTACGCATGTGGTAAGGTCTCGTCCTGACGGGCTCGCGTAACTTAACCGCCACCGTCTCGGTCTTGTCTTGTCCCCGTTTTGTCTCGTCTTGTTCTTCCAGGCCGTCAAACACTCTCTTCCTTTTCACTCTCGCTCCCCCGAGTCCTCGCTGCCTCGTTCCTCATCTTTGCTCCCTCACGACGTCGACACCCCCATCTCCATCCCCTGCAGCGCCCTTCTCATCTCTTTTCTAGTCGATTTTCTCCGGCCAATCCACCCACCATCGATTTCTTCAACCCCTTCGTCGTGAACATGGGTCGGACCGTCGACCAGGAAGTTCACGCGGCGTTTGTCGAGTTCCGCGCCAAGGAAGACGATAAGGTGCGTGACTCCTGTATTTCCCGTAATATTTCAACCCGCCGCCCAACACCAGCGTCACTGACATGACGAACCTGGTTGTTTGCTTTCGCAGTGTCTTTCCGTCCAGTGTATCTACTGCCAGCAGATTCGCGCAAAGAACACCTCGCGCCAGAAGCAGCACCTGCTTGAGTGTCCCGGTCTCCGCGGCCACACCAATCCCCAGGCCCAGTCCCAGTCCGCCCCCTCTGCCCCGAATGGCATCGCTGCTGCCAATGGATACCCTCCCACCCCGAATGGTGCTGCGGCCACCGCGCCGGGTGCTGGCCCTGGGCCCGGTGCTCTCGCGACTCCCAACGGTCCCATGATGTCGAACGGTGTCAATACTCATGCTACTCCGATGCAGACGCCATTGCAGAACATGCAGAGTCGCGCCTCGCTCCCGACATCAGGCCCAGCCGCAACCGCCTCCACGGTCTCTGCCACCCAGCAGGCAGCTCGTGCCACTCCCAAAGCGAAGCCCAAGAACTCGACCTCGAACCTTCCTGCCCCTCCCCTCGATGATGTTCATGCCGCGTTCGTGGAGTTCCGTGCCAAAGAAGAAGACAAGGTGAGCGAGGATATGGCCCACATGTTGCCTGATAGAAGAACCCTATGTCTGACAGGAGACCACCACCAGTGTCTTTCCGTTCAATGCATCTATTGCCAGCAGGTCCGCGCAAAGAACACCAGCCGTCAGCGTCAGCACCTACTGGAATGCCCCACCTACCTCAGTGTTATGAAAGACTCCATCCCCGCAAACAACCTTCTTCATACTTTCCCCGAAGGCGACGTGGCGCGTTCCCTGCAGATCCCCGCGCCTACCCTGGAACTGGACTTCCGCATGAGCATTAAGATGAACCCGAAGGTGTCTGTTGGTGAAAGTATTTGGGGTCAACGTGATTGGGTAACATTTGTCGGTGGTCAGTGGGCTGGTCGGTGGGGTAAAGGTGTTGTTCTGGTAAGTCGTGACGCTTAATTGGGTTGCTATCATCAGCAACATGCTCACTGTGCGTATAGCCTGGAGGACAAGACTCGCAAATTGTGACCAAGGAATCATCTACACATCTCCGAGCGAGCTACATGCTCCAGACCGCCGACGATCCCCCCGCATACATCGTCGTGAAGACCAACGGCTGGTTGACCGGAGCCAAGGATATTCTGGACAAGGTCAATGACCCCGGTATGGCGGATAGCATCAACCCCAATACATACAAATATCGCATCAACTTGAACATGGAAACTGGAGACGAACGTTACGCGTTTTTGAACACTCTGATGTGGATCGGAAGTGGCTGCCGCAGGGGCCACGAAGGTCAGTGCTCAACCTCGTCATCCAACCCCGAACCATTCTTTACTAACACCTATGCAGTCATCTTTGATGCATTCCGCGTCAACTAATCTGCCACGATATTGCAGCTGTTTTGTCCGTTATTAAGCGAGTAGCAATTGTTGATTTCATGGGGGAAAATCGTTGTCTTGGTTGTTTTTCTTTCCTTTCCACCTTTTGATTGAGCTTCATCCTCTCTTCTGAAAGTGTGGCTTGTGTATTTATCTCTTCGGTCCATCCGCGTGGGTTTACCCTTTCCCTGGGGGATGCCTACCTACCTGCCATTACTTCCATTACCTTCACGGGTCCGCTTGATGCGTTCATTCGAGGAGATTGTCTTCGAATGTCCTATTATGACTTGTCTTTGGGTTTCCTTTATCTTTTCTCTTCTTTTTTTTCACTTCCATCTTGAGCTGTCCACTTTGTAAGGTATCCGTTGTTTCCGTGTTTCCTTTTACTTTCTCTATTACATCTCCTAGGAGCAAGATTGTCATCATGAAGTTTCTTCTACAACCCTGGTTTGTTTATTTCCCTTCTACTTGTCGAGTACATTCGACGGACCCCCTCATCACAACCATAATACGTTGAGCCAAAGCGTCGAGGATACACGCTCGCATCTTGTACCTCTATCTTATTTTCCAGAATGGATATTGATTGCTGCCTTTGATACAGAGTTAGGCTAGGTCGTAATTGGCAGTTAGAAAAGGTTGCAATAGCTATTAGTAACTCGTGAAATCCGGATAACCACTTCGAGATAAAAAGATCAATCAATTTTGAAACCACCATGACTAGTAGGGATATGAGCTTCCTCAGTTCAGCTAATGCTGACTCCGTTATCTATCGTCATGGGTACCAAAGGACCTGATAGTATGAATTATCCCAGCCCCTCACGAAATAGCAGTAATGATACGTTCCTGCAAGATATCCGACATCATACGTGATATTGTATATACCAGTCTTACCAGCAAATAAAGTAGTAGCCAAACTTAGATAGATTACTTGGTATACTTACTTTACCGAACCTCGCCAAGCCCAGCTGAGGGGTATCATAACCAACCATACTTACTTACTACTTATTGATATGATACTACGAAACTAAACCACCAATGGGAAACATAATTAGTATTAAATTGATAGGCTAATATCTACACTTGTACTGTAGTCCTATAGTTGGCATTATATACCATTTTTCGCTACGTATTTACCAACTGCTAGGTTCTTATCCTCAGCGTATTTATCCTAGGTATAGTGTAAGTATTTATTATCATATTGGGCCAGTAGACGGAGTGGGTCTTGATAAGGTAGTAAGGATATTGTGTGGAAAAGTAATGAGGAGGACGGGGTGATGATAATGTTGCTAAGAGGTATTAGAAGATATTGAAGATCTGTATCTGGAATGCGGATGGTATGTTGGATTCTCAGGGGATGTGGAGTGACAATGGATGGTAGTATTGGTGAGTATTTGTTGAGTAGTTATAATAGATAGTTCTTGCTCTTGTTGCCTGGACCTTGGCAACTGGCCACATCTTTGTGTGTATGTGGTTGAAGTAAAGACAGATGGGGGAAGACGGAAGCGAGAGGCCTTCACCTTAGGCACTGATATTTTGTATATTGAGTAGTGGTATGGTAATATAGTCTGCTGAGGTTTATTCAATATAGTAGCGGAAGAAAATAGTTGTGATAGTCTACGCTCTCCTTTGTCTGTAGAATGAAGGAAATACAAGGATATCGATCCCCACATCTTCACCAGCTTGAATCAGTGGCGTAAAAGCCTGCTTGGCAGATAAACTCTCACGAGTATTCTGCCAATATGACTGGATCTCCACTTCCTCGAGATACGGAAACTTCTCTTTCCGACAAGCCACCACCTCCAGCAGATTGGATATGACTTGATCCCTCAGGGAGTCTTCATAATGCGACAGACAAAGCCATTTCAAACTAGACGGCAAGATCTCTTTGAGCGACGATACTTTTGGTTTGTCATCACTCAAGTGGAAATTCAACAATGTGGAGGCAGGAATCCGGAGATCCCATAGCTTAGTGAAATCCGCCAATGACCCGAACCAGTCGGTTGGGGGAACGCTCGCGTCATCATCATCATCATCGTCGTCGTCGTCAAGAGATTGCTGCGTCTCCCCTCCGTCGTTCAAATGAAGGACCTGCAAGCTGTGCTTTTGCGTACAAAGCGCAGAGTAGAATGCCCGAGGACGGAAGTTCATATATCGTTCTCCCCATATCACCTGATTTGAGTGTTGATATTTGAATTTCTCGAGGTTCGCACATGATGTAATAAAGTCCGCCATGCCCTTACTGCCATTAGGGTGTGCACCAAACTCGAGTTCGACAACTGGAGAGGTACCCTTGGCAGGCTTGAAAGCCGGGTGGTCAATTTGAACACCCATTGACTCAACCACGGAGTCCAGGCTCACGGACCGCAGAGCCGGAAGATGGAAGAAGGGGAGAAATTCAGTCTTGTGGAACCATGCTTTATTGTCGTCCGAGGAGTCAATCCCGACATCGACCAGTTGCTGTAGAATTGGCATCGTGTCAAATGGCTTCTCACGTATTGCGGCGCGTGAGATAACTCGACGGAGAAATTTGGGTTGCCTTGTATAATGCATTAACAAGCTTGTCATGTTCTCCATGTGCAAGAGCAGTAGGCCAAGCCATGCATCCTGATTGCCCTCTATCAAAGCTTCCTCCCATTCTTTCGTTTCCTCCTCTGATTGGCTAATCCGATTCACAAGCGGTAGAACAGAAGTGATATCGTGATTCTCCTTATCCCATGTATAGCAGGACCACCAGTGCAACCTGAAATATTTGATGGAAGATCCTATCGCGGGGTTCTGCTGGATGGCCAAGAGAAGAGGGCGAATCTGATGTCCCTCTATCCAGACATAGTCGTAGACCGCCTTGAATAGGACTGACCGCCAACGGCGACAAACCTGGAGAAACTGGTATTTATGTTTGAACAAGACGATGTTGTCAACAATAAGGAGGAGAATCTCGTCCGGAAGGCGATTCATCCTGTCAAGCAAGGCAGGTCAAGGAGTTGAACAGGTCGGGCATCAAGCGGGGAAGGTTTTTTCTGCTCTGTCTGGACCCCATTTTAGCGCGAGATGTTGAACCAGACGGAAGTGGTTGAAGCTAAGCCAGCTGAGGAGGACGGGGCGAAGAGGATAACGGAGAAAGAGAAAGAGAAAGCCAGTCAATTGACCAACAACAAGATGTATACATGACTTTCCAAAACCCATCCCAAGAAAGCAAAGTACCTGAAATGGTAATTACCCTGAGGTATCGGGTGTTCTGATACGTAGTATACTTTTCTGGTCCGATCTATACTGATTGATTACTGATGTTACTGTTGTTCCAGCAGATAGTTACGCGGATTAATACCGCCTTATGCCCGTACTTTGCCAGGACCCTGTATTTTATGCTTAGCGGTTCGGTTTCTCCCAGATGATCCACTCCGTGGGAAACTTACCAAGCGACATACTAAAGAACACCTCGGGCATTTCCCCCGGTTTTTGCACACTATTGTGCCAGCACAGAATCATGAAGAATCTGATGACCTGGGGCGCAGGATTTTTTTTTTCTCTTGCATTCTCTCAGGAGATACTGCAATCCCTTGCTGCCTCATGGCACAGTTCATTGGTAGGGAAAGACCAGCTCGGATTGCAGTGGGGCTGATAGCATCAATGCAACGAACAAGCCTTCCTAACCGAACCATGGACACATCCATACCCTTGGAGGGAAACGGACATGTGTTGGCACGTGTTATTACTTTACGCTCATTTCGAGTGGTACATACTAGATCGCAGGAGTTCGTTTTGAATTACCGATTGGTTATCGACAAACCCGTGTACTTTCGCCGGGCTGCATATGATGTATCGCTGCCCGGCAGATTCATCCGCAAGAGAGGCTTTACAACTCTAATTTATTAACGTAAAAGCAATACCTGTGCCAGTTTCAGGATGCTGTAAATCTAGTTCGATACAATGTGACCAGATCTGAAACGGTTAGGTTACTTTCTTGAACCATAACCCCGACATATCATCAAATGATCTATTCGGCGAGGAATTTCAGCCTGTATCGTAAATACGACCTAAAGGCAGGTCCCGACACAACTAGTATGAAGCATAACTCCGTGAGTTAAGTACAGGCAAAGTCAAAAAGCTGGTTCTTCTCTACATCGCTACATTAAAGACTAACATCGAAATCAGATATCTACAATATTGACATGCCTCAGTTTAGAAGCCTATATATAGTCAGTCATTAACTGGTGTTGATGCCACTGAAGCCGTGAACGTACCTTTCTCGGTGTTCCCCTCACCCATACTCTTACTGCTGCTGCTGCCACTTTGAATAGCTCCGAGAATGCCGTCCAGGTATGGAGCACCACTCCATTTTTGATGGGTGAGTACGTCCACCCCCAATTCCTTCTCTCGTGCCTGGACCATCCGAACATAGGCGAGCATGCCTTCGTCCTTGAACGCGCGCGAGAGTTCCGTTGTGATGGTTGCGTTGGTGTGCACTCCAGCGAGAGAGATCAGTTGCAGAACAAATCTACGCAGGTCAGCTACTGTTAACTTAGTGTTCAATAAGACTATTCACGTACCCATGTTGCGCTAGATCCCAGATGAAGGACTTCAGAGAGGCTTCGTCGAAGCCCTGACCCATCCAGTTGAATGACGGGCTCAGGTTGTAAACCAGCTTCTTGCCAGGGTGTGCAGCGCGCACATCACCTGCCAGCTTCGCAGCCTTGTCAACATCCGGATCACCTGTCTCAACCCAAAGAAGATCCGAGTAAGGTGCGAACTCCTTGGCTCGCTTAGTGGCAGCCGCGAACCCAGCACGGTAATGGTAGAATCCTTCCCGGGTGCGAGGGGTATCGCAGGACCAAACCACCGGTGTCTGGGAATAGTCGTCTGCCAATGCCCTCCGGCGGGAGATAGAAAGGTCGGGGTTCTCTTGGACGCGCTTCTTGTATGCGTCTCGAGCGGACTGAGACGCACCCTCTGCCTCAAGGTGTGCATCGACAGCTAAAGAAACCGTGATTAGCCGAGCCTAATATGGAGGAGCTACTAAGGCATCGTACCCTCATCAAAAGTGACAAGTTTGTGTCTCTTAACCCAGTCCATCTCGTACGCATCGATTTCCGAAGGAGCAGCTCCCTCTCGCTCCATGGCCTGCAAGGTCTCTGCGAGAGGTTCCACATTCTCCGTAACACCAAGGAGGAACTCGTGGTCGCGCACGTCGATAGCACTGCTAATCAGACGGCCGCTCTCCGAGTCCGTACGAGCAATGACCAAGTTCTCTGTTCCCATCATATCCCACTGGAAACGTGCCGCGACAAGCCTGTTGATGTGGTCTCCAATAGGCACAAGGACTTTGCCAGCCAAGTGACCGCATTTCTTTCCGCCGTGAAGCTGGTCCTCGAAATGAACAGCTGCAGCGCCATTCTCTGCAAAGAGCTTAGCCAGCTTCAACACGGCCGACAACCCTCCATGTCTAGATACATCAGCCAATCAATTCTCAACTTCCAAAGGATCTGACATACCCTGTGTCACCATCTGCGACAATCGGACGTAGGTAATCGACGTAGGGTGTATCCTTCCGTTGTTCGGGCGTAAGCTTCCGTCTAGCATCCCACTGCTTTCGATCGTGCAGCTGTTGGGCCTTGAACAATCGCTGGACCTGGTTTGGAACGGTATTGTAAGGATAGTCACCAAAATCGGGCGAGACCTCGTTGGTGGTAGTCAACAGAGAAGAGCATGCCCAGCCAGAGATGTACAGAACCTCCTGGTTGGGTGCCTGCTGGGTCATCTGTACTGGGTCAACGGCACCCACTGCGGGGAGTTAGCATATGCAGTAGACCAAAAAAAGATGGGTTCAAGCAATGGCATACTGGTGTGAACTGGTTTCCCCTCAGCTGCGCGCTCGTTCAGCAAGTTAAAAAGCTTCCTTGCCATCAACGAGCTCGGATAGGTTTGCTGCAGAGAGCCCCGTTTGCTAACCACATCTGCGGCTGAATAGGGCCGCTTGATACCCTCAAACCGCGGTGACGTCCACCACGCTTCCACATCTTTGATTTGTTGCTCATACAAGGCATCTTCAGCAGCTCCAGCCTTGTCACCAGTCGACAAAAGTTGGTATGAATCGGTCGGCAATGCGGATGACACGAGGGGTTCAACGGGGGGCAACGTTGGTGCCGACATCCGCGGATAACCGCATGTGAACGAACGCAAGGCAAAGCGAGATGGACTGCCGGCAGTCGAAGTGAGAGTAGGGATACGTCGAGGAAGTCGACGAGGAACTGATCGAAGCATCGTTAAAATTCAAGCAAGAATGGGTAGCGAATGGCCTGGCATTGAAGGGAAGGGAGGAATGAGGAGGGATGGAGCGTCGTGATGTTGGGGACGGTCCGTTTCTCGGTCGGCCGATCACCACCAGCCTAACCTCGGTCTGGGGGCGGCAATACCCCCCCGCTTATCCGCGGTCTATCCGCAGTCGGCACGGTGCCTTTTGTGGCTCCACAGGTGGCTGGGATAACGGTGAGGTTAAGCTATCCGTGCACTCCGTTCTCGGTAGAATCTCAATATCGACATAGAAGTATGGATTCCTAACCACTTCGTACAGTACATGATCACCATAGCTGCGTGCCATCATTCTACCTATTTGACATACATCACCGACAGTCATAGCGGCAAACTTAACCCTCATCTCTGATTACCCATCTCATAGCCACATAGATGTGTAGTAAGATTACACAACTCGGAGTCCTCTCTCATACGCTTCCCTCAGCATCCGAAAAGACAATTGAGCAACAGGGTCCGTTGTACAGTTTGGCCTTGTCACCAGTGTACGGAAGCCTCTATCTGCGATGACTTTGCACGTCTTCTTATGTCCTTTCTCTTCCCATCCAGCTTTCTGGCATTCCTATAATGGTGGAACATCAGCATAGGCAATAACTTCTCAATCACGTAGCAATCCTTCAAATGAAGAAAGCTCACGCTGCTCACCTTATCACAATACACAACCACACCACACTTCGCACATCTCAGGAGTGGCTTATCCTTCTCCCCACAACCATGACAGATCTTGTGCGTGGCAAACTTGGCCGGCCAACTTCTCATCTCGTCGCTCAGTTGAAAGAGTATATTCAACTTCCCAGGGAGTAACTAGTACGTTCAGTCCACGAGTTAGTACGTATTGTATTCGAGCTCCTGCGCAGTGCGCTCATAACCATACCTTAGAATACCCATAGTGCTCTTGTCGTACACCCACAGTACCATCGAGAAAAAGATGGCGTCTAGGAAACAAAATAGCCATAGTATTTCCGGGCTTCAACTTTGGATCATTCTCAATGGACCTGCCTCGATCCTCCGTGTAGAAGGCCACGGTGACAGGCAAGTCGGCCCTATCGAACGTTCTCAGTACAAGTCGCGTGAACCGTTCGATGCTGACAATCTCAAGGAGTAGACATCCGTATCTACCGCCGCCAATTTGAGGACAGGTATAGTCTCCAGGGAGATCTGAAAACGCAAGAAATATGCTTTGGTCTGCGAGTGAGGCGTAGTTACGCGACATCTTTGCGGGAGTTTGCGGACTGTGTATAGGTAGGTAGATAGGTGGGTCAAAGGATGATAAAACAAGAAGAGGTTAATAGGTAGATTACCCTTCTAGCATACCGGTGCCCAGAAGGAATTCCTTATTTATGATGAGAATTGAGATTGGGGGTTGACGCGGTAGTAAACATGGTCGCTTCACTCCGGCGCGTTGCTCTGTGAGTGAATGATATTTCCTTCTGAAGACTTTTCTATGTCCGAGGGCAATGCTTGAGACTTTAACTAGTGCTCCATCTATTGATAGTATAACTTCTTATACTTACTTAGGAACCTTGTAGCTTGCCACAGTGAGGACTAAAGCATTTCGTTGCCATCATTGTGAATACGTAAGTGAAGCAGATGAGGTTCATTCAAATAGTATTACCATCACGGACAATCATAGACAGCTCCAGGATAGGCCCAAAAAAAAAGGATGTATTACAAGATTCAGCATATAACCAGTCCAAACAGTACATATAGGATTGACATAAAGCTCTTTTCGTATGCATTTTGGGTGCATCGAGGAGCTAACGATAGTCTTGCAAAAGGAAGAATATCTTAACGGCCTCAATCACGGCTATACTCTGATGCGCACGGTCTTCTGCCATCATCTTGGCTAGAATATTGAGAACCATGATTGGCTTTATGATGATAACCTAGACTTTCCCAAGTATGAGAGGCTCTATGTCGTGAGTGGCAGGCTGGCAGCCGATCATCGGAAGAAGCTCGCAACTTGATCCGAATTTCATCTCTAACAAAACGAAGGTCTTGGACTAATGACAATGCAGAGAGGGGATGGCACGGATCTAGCCCTCCTAGAGTAATCCGAGTCGGCTCCCCTGTTCTTAGTTCGTCATACTATATTAGTCATTTAAGCAACATTAGAAGTAGTGCGCTTTCCCCATAGGTGAGTCTAACTGTATCCATGCAGGTCGTAGCTACGAAGAATGCCCCAAGCTGCCAACAGGCCAACCTTAAATGCGATTAAAAGTCGAACATAATGACAAGTCGGAATGACAGAATGACAGGGGGGTTTGATAAGTCCGAATAATGCCGGTGGTAGGTAGTACAAACCGGTTCACTACAGGAACAGACCATGTGAACTGCCTTGACACACGCATGATAGCCGTGTGCATCTAGTTTGATCGAAAAGCCCTGCTACTTACCCACGATGATCCCACGGCATGTATGAGTAAATCGGGATCTAGATCCTTATAAGCAATTATGATAATGCAAGGCTCGTTAGCTATGCCAAACATAGCCCACGTAAGGAACGGTAATTCCTAAAATCTCAGTTATCGTAGCGGTGAGACGCAACGCTCCGCCAAGAAGAGGCTATTAGCACCGGAGTTTGAAAGCCAATAGCAAATGAGCGAGATTCGAATCCGGGTGGCGCTCTCCACTAGACCTTTATCAGGCAAGGTGCTCGGATCTATGATCAGTGGCATCGCCGACAGCTTTTCGATATACTTCCCGGCCCTAAAGCGGGTATACATCATGAACCGGGCATCCTAATGCTATCCCTTGCACCGTCGCGCCCCATCCACTCGGATAGATGGCTGTGATTTGATCACTGAGAGACGGTGTTTCATACACGTGATTTAGCTGATCACTAGTGTTCCCAACAAATTATTCAGCTGAAATCAATCGCGTATGTTCAGTAGAGAGTCACACGTGTGCGCTTAGTTTTCGTTAGACTGGAGTAAGTGGTGAGGTATTCATCAGACCACATCGTGGGATTTGGATTCAAGGCGGCTGAACGCTTCAGGAATCCGTATCTAGTATCTTCAGGTGTGTATCTGGCGGCACTGTTGCACAGCAAACGATGTTAGCGTGCAGTTGTATAACATGGTCAACATAGATACCAGAGAATGAAAAGATCGAGGGCAAATACCTGCGAAGAGTTAGTGCGGCTGGTTGCTGGTTGATTACGGAGTCATGGGGCCTTAAGGCCGGTCCTGGGCTGACCCCACCATCTTCGAACTATGGAGCAGGGTTCACCTAGGAAGATAAGGATCGAAAGTAATCGATGATACCACTTGGAGGCCATGTTACCCAATAGATTCATTGAGGCCAGTCTCTCAACCCACTTGTTTGCTACGTGATAATGAGCTTTCTTTATACGATTCAGTCAGCGTGTGGTTTCCGGAGTCCAAGCATTCTGTACCCGCCAAACTAGCTGAGGTCATGAGAGACAAACCAGCTTTTCATGAACTTCTCTTTGTTGTGTACTCCACAGTGGCGTTCCAGGGAGTGAACTGGTACATATCTATGCTGTGCCATGACATGTGTTCTAAAACTCAATGTAGGCGCTGAGATGTGAGTCTTGAATTATTTTGAAGTGTTTTCGAAGAAGTGGGATATGGTTCGTCGGTCTTGCGGTTGAATCGGCTACGCCGGGGAACACTCTTTCATCTCTGACCCAGTAGATCTGTTCTGAACTGATATCGAAGAGCCAATTGGAGGAGCACGCTAATGCACCATGGATAAGAGCAAGCACGCGGCCCTCGAACGCAACCTGAGACGAAGATCGTTGTCCATACACCTTGGTGGGGTCTTCTTAAGGCTTTGACTCTGGAAGATGACTTTAGCTTTACATACTTTATTGAGAGAGTTGCATATTCGACTTTGCAGATCTTCAAGCACCAGAAGTTGCGGACATTGGTCGAGTCACTGACGTGTTGGTCATGGGTTCGTTGCAGATAGAAGCTGACCCAAGACAGTCGTTGGAGAAGTGGAGTCATGAGGTTTCCTCGTTGGTCTTCACCGTGCCTTCCGTCGTTGCTGTAAGGAGAAACGCGAGGAACTTACTAAATCTGCATTCTTGTTGAGCTAACAAACCTGCAGGAAATAGCCGTGGGGCTGTGGAATATTCACTCTCCAAAATGGACAGTCCAGTGCCCAAACCTGGTCATCATTCACACTATCTTGCAGGGCTCTCATTTGAGTTATGAAGACCCAAGTGTGCACAGTCAAGTGGTTGTGTGTCAGAACCAAGTCTCCTATCAAACCTTGTGGCTACATGCGTTTCCTCTGAGACTAATCTCGAGCTTATTGATTCGTGCCTACATAAGGAAGGAAACCTCGCACCTTGAGGGCCGTATCCTTGGTGTGAGTCAAAACAGGCCTTACGTACCGAATACTGTAGGCTAGTCATGTGTGGGCTAACAGCTTTTATTGCTCTCTATGGGAGGTCTGGCTGGCAGCATGACGAGTTTGCAAGCACTGGGGATTTGGGACAGAAGGTCAACGACAATCTGGATCTAATTAGCCACCGAGGACCTGACGCTCGAGGGCAGTGGCTTAGTTCCGACTGTCGAGTTGGTAAGTTCAGATGGCTTCATAGAAAAGGGTATGCGATTATCTGACTTGCACTAAAGGGCTTGGACACGTCCGGCTTTCAATTATCGACCTGAGTCCCGCCGGAAACCAGCCATTCCATGACAGCGAAGATAACATTCATGCCGTTATAAACGGTGAACTTTATGACTATGACCGTATCAAGGCTGAGCTGTCGGGCGAATATGACTTCAAAAGCAAAAGCGATTGCGAAATTGTCATTGCACTTTACAAACATTACGGAGAGTCGTTCCTCTCGCATTTAAGGGGCGAGTTCGCTCTGGTGCTATGGGATGCAAGGCGACAGCTGTTCATCGCTGCTAGGGATCGGTACGGAATCAAGTCTCTCTACTATACAGTCATAGATGGCCGATTAGTTGTGGCCACAGAGATGAAATGCTTCCTGTCTTTCGGCTGGACTCCGGAGTGGAATGTCGCCAATATCAGGGAGAAAGGCTGGCTATATGGGCACCAGATGTACTTCAAAGGCGTCAACCGAGTGAGTGACGAAATCAGTACGACTTCTGCGTACCATGGATAACTAATCATGCAACCAGGTCGGCCCTGGCCAGTATCTCGTTAGCCGAGACTTCAACACCCCTCGGGTGAAATCATACTGGGATCTTGACTACACCGACAAAGTAAGCAAGCAATCCACGCTAGGTGCCGAATAGATTACTTACCTAGACCTACGCAGCATGATGCCTACCCACGTTCAGAAGAAGAGACAGTGGCCAGAGTCCGGGAGCTTCTTTTAGAATCGGTGCAGCATCGACTCCGTGCTGACGTGGGTGTGGGCGTATTCTTAAGTGGAGGGCTAGACTCTTCGGCCATTGCGGGTATGACGGCACATGTTATTCGACAAGGCCAGAGCCTAGGGAACGATGCAAGCGGAAAACTCTCCAATCTAAGCTGTTTTACGGTTCAGTTCGAGAAGAGCAGTGGATTGGACGAATCAGGTAATTGTCACTGATCCTCCATGGTTCCACAATCCACTTACCAGTCCCAGATGTCGCCCGACGAACAGCAGAATGGCTAGGAGTAGACTTCCATCCTGTCCTTCTGGACGAAGAGGCCATTGCTTCGAGACTAGAGGATACAGTGTGGCATACAGAGACACCCATACCCGACGTGAATGGAATGGGCCGCTTAGCCCTCGCAGAGGCCGCCCATGCAGCAGGCAAAAGAGTCGTTCTAACCGGCGAGGGTTCCGACGAGCACTTCGCTGGCTATGCAGACTTCATATGGCGTTACATACTGGAACCGGACCATTCGTGGGCCTCATCCGACACCATGGCTGAGCTACCGGAGGCACGGAAGGTCGCCCATGAGTTAATCGCAAAAGGCTTTCTAGGGGCACTTCCCCCTCCCTCTGATGCGGAGGCTTCTCGGACTCTCAATGACAGTTCTGTGTTTCCCAGATTCAACGCAATAACCCAGCCACGCTTCCGACAGTGGGTCTACAAAAACAGTCACAATCGCCCCGAGTTGCTGTTTGCCAATAGCTTCAGTGAGAAGGTCCTTGCTGATGTGGCTACAAAGTGGCATCCGCTGCACTCTTCAGAGTATCAGTGGACTAAGAGTATCTTGGCCAACTATATCCTCCGATACCTAGGGGACAACATCGACATGGTTTACCAAATCGAGTCGCGACCGCCCTTCCTTGACCATCACCTCACCGAATATGTGAACAGGATTCCCCCTAGTCTGAAAATCAAATACTGCTCCGCGACGAAGACCTTTCGTGAGAAGCATATTCTTCGCGAGGCAATGAAGCCATTTGTCACCGAGGAGGTCTATAATCGCACTAAGCAGCCCTATGTTGGCCCAACCAAGTACAAAAAGAATGGGCCAGTGTATAGGATTCTTGAGACGTTAGTGACTGAGGCCAATGTCAGAGCTCTGGGGTTCTTGGAGTGGCACGGGGTACAGGAGGATTTCGTGAAAGCCTTTCGCGATCATGATACGCTGTCATTCAAGAATACACTATCGGTGGCTCAGATGGTTGTTCTTGGGAAGCGGTTCGGGGTGAAGACAGCGGAAGATCCTCGAAGACAGGCAGTGGCATATGAGGAGACTGAGAATGCTATTCTTAGGAGTCGATTGTAAGATACGCTGTACTGAGCTTCAGAATAACAGCACCTTGAATCAAGTGAATCTTCAGTAGTGTGAGGGATGAAAGCACGTATTCAACTGAGTTACGGCATCTTGGAGATTCTGATTATCTCACAGAAGTTTTGAACATGAGCAATACTAGTAGGACTTCCCATTCTATACTAAGATATGGAGCATGCATCCATCCATATCATCTAAAGATTCTAAGAATACTATTTGCCATCAAATCCCCTTCACTTCCGCTCATCCAACACAATCAGAAATATACTCCCACCTCAGGCAAACCCATTCGCCTTATTAAACTCATCAACCACCTCCCTTGTAGCCCTCACAATCTCCAAACACCCCGGCGAATCCGAATGACAACAAATCGTCACCGGGTAATCCTTGACCCCCATCTGCACCACCGACCCATCAACAGCCGTCGCCGATGAGTCCTCCACCTGCTGCCTCACATGCGCCTTGACATCCTCAATCTTCCATGGCTTCTTCTTCCGATCAATAACCAGCATCCCATCGGGCCCGTACTTGACATCCCCGAACAGCTCCGCCCAAAACGGCACCCCGAGCTCCTTCGCCGCCTGCTCCATGTATGTTCCTCCTAGGCCCACCACTGGCACGCCAGCAGGTATTCCCCTTATTACAGCCCGTGCGACTTCCAGATCGCGACACATCATGCCGTAGAGCACGCCGTGCGGCTTGACGTGGTGGAGGGGGATATTTTCGCGTGCTAGGAAGCCTTGCAAAGCCCCGACTTGGTATATTATGTTGGCTGTGTGCTCTTCTGCTGTGAGCTTCATTTCGCGGCGGCCGAAGCCTTGCACGTCGGGGAGGCCGGGGTGGGCGCCGATGGTTATGTTGTGCTTTTTGCATAGGGAGACGGTCTCTTGCATGATGAGGGGGTCACCGGCACTAGGTAATAAAAGGGAATTCGGGATTAGATTTGGTTTGGTGGTTTGTGGCTGAAGGGACGCGGTGGATAGCTATGCTACTTACTGAAATCCGCAGGCTACGTTGGCCTGGTCGATGAGGGGGATTAGTTCTTCGTCTGGGCCGCATTTGAAGTTCCCGTAGCCCTCGCCGAGGTCGACGTTGATGAAGACTTTGGTTCGTAGGGGAGGCATGGTGGTGATGGTGGTTATGCGTTTAGAGATACCGTGTAGTAGTGAAGTGGGTGACGATAAATGAGACGGTCGAGGGACCAACCCCTAAGCTGCTTGGAATACGTATCATGGTAGGTTCCATGGTCCTAGGAAGTGGGGTTGTTGGAGGCGGGGAGGCTGCCTATAGCAGTGTTGCGCTGCATTAGCGGCATTGTGCCTAATTTTGGGCATCATCACCTATGCTGCATAAAACTGACTTCAGTGGCAACCTGGCATCTCTGTCGATGCCTTGGAGATCCCCCAAAGCCAATGTCCTGGAAGATCACTACGACCCACTTGCGAGGGGTTCGCTGCGCCCATCCAAAATAGCGTGCGGAGTAGGATCCATTATCCCCTCACCTTCCCGGCGCCTTATCTCCCTCCCTCCCGCTCTCGGTTTCAGATCAATGCCGAAATCGGTCAATAAGGACCAACACCCAGGTGACATCAACCCATCAAATGCTCGACTTTTCAAACCAAGTCTCCTATGACGGCCCCCACGCCAAAAGACCCCAAAGTAGCGTTATATCGACACACCTCAAATCGTCAGGGGTTTCGCAAAGAAAAGTCGTGCAACACGTTCCGCACACCTGGGCACGCAGAATTCCAAATACTGTACTGCGAGCATGCCGTTAACCGGCCCCAATTCCAACTTTCAAAGCAGGGAAAGCTTAGGTGTTGCACCTGATGCTAGCTGTGCGACTGGGCCTTGCACATAATGCCGGGATGCATTCGGCCGCCGACCAGAGCCATTCAAGTGAGGTTGAATGTCCCCAGGGATTGGAACCAACACGAGGCCGGCAGTCATCCTGGAGACCAGTTTTGATTCTTACTCGTGGATCTATCCGAGGGCTGAAGACATTGTCTAACATCTGGGAACAGGCGACAACCTTGTACAACAGGTCTAGACCATGGCATTGTAGTAGTATTCCTGGCAAACGAGCAGAGTGTCGGGTCGACTGACCCCATGTCTCCTTGAAATTCCGCCGTTGTGATCGGAGTGTTTCATTGCAGATGACATTTGTCTAGGGAATGGGCAGTTTTTGAGACGAGTTTTGATTGAAAGTCCGGTGTTGCTGATTGCTTGTCCTACCCATTGTGGAGCGGTCAATGGTTATCCAGGAATGGATGTTTTGGATGGAGCGGGACCTAGATAGGATGGACGAACGGTAAGTCGAGTAGTAGAGGAAAGTCAGAAGCCTGTTGCCTACTGGCAGATGTCTGTACAGTCGTAGTATCTTCTGCTTTGTGCTCTGGTGGCTGTGAAGTCGAGGATAAGCCGGCAGGTGACAAGGCGAGGCGGTCGAATAGGATCGCGGGGATTACCTCCCTCCACCACCCACCAACTAGCCAGCTACACCCAACTGCTGTCGCCCACACCGGCTGAACCTCTCCGATCCCTCTCAACCTCATCTGGCTCCCTGGTGGCGTCTGTCATCCTATCCCCGTCTCGCAGCGTTGTTTCAACATCGGCTGTGGTGTCCCCAGTGTTCAGTAACCCCTTCTTGAGCAACTGCTGCCATCTTCGTGTTTCTCATTCAACAAACGCACTCACTGGTCGACGGGTAATTTCGTCCTCGCAAACAGTGGCGTTTGTCTCTTCCCCTCCCGCCTCCATCCATTATCATCGAAACCTGCATGAAAGGGAGTGTTCTAGCTCCAATCGCCATGCTTCCAATGGAGACCCGGCTCTTGTCTGAGCTCCTACCTCGGATCGACGAATCCGCGTCACACAACTCGCACCAGCTGTCTCCGCAATCTGCTGCTCTAGTGCAACTCTTATCACCTGGAGGTCCCTCTCTCTCCTCACCGTCTGGGGCCGTCTCGGGGCGTTGAGTTATCTATCGCACATCCAGGCTTTCCCTATCTTTTCTGTTTCCCTGCCATCGGACAGACTAAACAGCCTTATCTGCTTTGGACAGTCTCCAAGAAAGCCATTCGGCTGCTCTCCCCTCTTCCCTTCCCACCACCTAGTTGACGAGGTGACCCCCTCCTTCTTTCCTCGGACAACTATTTTCCTTCTCTCCTCATACCTTTTATGGTATATTCCATCTTGAATCGGTTTATGTCATCGTCACATCAAATTTCGATATGGAAAACATCAATATCCCTTCCCCATCTGCTATTCTAGACATCCAACGTCCCTCCACGTCGACTGATGGGCTTTCCAACCCATCTGTTTCTCCCAAGAATTCGTCTGCAATCCAGCGAGGTGCTGCCAAAGATCGCAGCAAGCCAAAGCAGACCAAAAGCCGTAACGGTACGGTATTATTACTTTTCTACTAGTTTTAGCGCGGCAGTTGTGGAAGGGCGACAGATGTATGCAGAATAATGAGCACAAGAGGCATGAGCAGAGACAAGGGCACAGACGCTCCATAAGTCGCAGCGCGCTGACGTCTTATTGTTCACCTTATCCAGGCTGCAAAACTTGCAAGGACAAGCGACTGAAATGTGACGAGACCAAACCAAGTTGTATTCAATGTAGGAAGCGAAACGTGACGTGTGAAGGATACATAAAGAAATTCCAATGGCGCAACGGCTATTGGCAGAAAAATCTGAATGGGGGCACAAATGGCAGTGCAAATACAAAAAAAGGTACGCCAACAGCCCCAGCTCATCGCAGTTTCCAGGGTCTTGATGCTGACATTTCTGTAGCTATCCAATATCAGTCTAATGAGAACTCAAGTTCAGAAACTTCAGGGTCATCCATTCCACAACACCAATCCAGGGCATCAAAGTCACAGCAAGCTGCGTCTAGTCTTCCTTCTTTGGGCTCAGGGTCTTTTATGGGTCTTGCTGACCTGACCTCGAAGGATGCATTGCCTTCAAAACATACGAATAGGCATTCATTTAGCGACAAGGATTCGTTTGGCAACCCAGAAGTGTTTGTTGGTCAGCTAACGCCAGTGAGCTTCGATGAAGACATTCTCGCGTCGTCATTTACAGACATCTCGCCTTCAGACCAGATTTCATGGATTTCTGATGCCTCATTGGTTGCAGTAGAGCAAAAGTCGGAGACTGAGCGCGAGCCCAAACGTGACCTTGGGCGCAAAAATTCCTATGCACAAGATGGTTTTAGCTTCGAAGAATTGATGGAAATTGATGACGAGGATATCGAGGAGATAGTACGAAGGCCCGACCGAAGTATGAAGTCCGGGCGGCCGGAAAACGCAGACATGAATGTCGCACCGCATCACGGACTGTTCAACATCTGCAGGGAGCCCAACCTCGGCGTTGCAAGTCCAGAGATGTTGGTTTTGCAATTTGACAGGGTGACGTGCGGGATCCTGTCTGTAAAGGACGGTATTCATGAGAATCCGTGGCGTACTTTGATCTGGCCATTGGCCAAGGAGACTCCGGCTTTGTATCATGCTGTGTTTTCGCTTGCTGCCTTTCATTCAAGCAAAGAGGTTCCAGCCTTGAGAGTTCATGGTGTGGATCACATGCGCCAGAGCATCACCCACCTAGTGCACGACATACGGAACATGAGGGTTGATGCAGCATTAGCCACGAGCCTGGCGCTTGCTTTTGCTGATACCTGGGACCAACACACTCGTACCTGCATTCAGCATCTGAAAGGTGCCAAAGCACTGGTCTCGCAAGTGGTGGGGCTTGGTGCTCAAGGCGAGATGCGTGGGATTAACCTGAGCAGGGTGCGTTTCCTTTACAACACCTGGCTGTATATGGACGTAATTGCTCGCCTGACCTCTCGTGAAGAATCGGGGGATCAGGAGGTGGATGCACCCTTTTTCCAACCCCCAAGCCACGCTGTACATGAGATTGATCCTTTGATGGGCTGTGCAACGACACTTTTCCCTCTAATCAATCAAGTGGCTCGGTTGGTTCAGCGTGTTCGCAAGACGGCATCCAATTCCATCTCGCTTATCTCGCAAGCCATAGAGCTGAAAAGGCTTGTTGAGCAGTGGGAACCCCCGCAATTCTTCGAGCCCCCAGAGGACCCATCTTCCGAAGTCCAACATAGTATTCAAACAGCCCATGCTTATCGCTGGGCAACACTACTATACCTTCACCAGGCGGTACCTGAGATGCCGTCGGAGCCGACCTCCGAGCTTGCCAAACGCGTGCTGATCTTGTTGGCTACCGTTCCTTCCAGTTCTCGAACCCTAATCATCCAGATGTTCCCTCTGCTGGCGGCAGAATCCGAAGCAGAGCAAGAGGATGATCGTCAGTGGGTGTTGAGCCGGTGGGAGTCTATTCAAACGCGCCTCATGCTGGGCTCAATTGATCGCTGCATAGAGATAGTCCGCGAAGTCTGGGCCCGCAGGGATGCGTTCGAAGATGAGAAACAACGGTTGCGGGGATCGTCTGGGCGCGGGGCCAACTCTGTCATGGAGACTTTGACGAATGATAGAGTACCTCTCACTAGCCTTAAGTCGAATGATCAAATGGTCCGTAGTACCTACGCCAAGGAGCCATGGAGAAGGACGATCCAGGAGGAATGGTTGGCCTCTAAGGCTACTATTGGACACTCACGACGGAGCTCCGCCATGTCCCCGTTGGAGAATATTGAATTCGAAAAGACAGTTCGCGGCAGGTTGCACTGGATTAACGTAATGCAGGATTGGGGATGGGAAGGTACGTTTGAGCTTTTGCTTGTTGTTTCATTGGAATTTTGCTTTGCTATTCGTACTTGTGGAGAACACCAGCTCATTCATATAGTGTTCCTGGGTTAAGACCCGGGTCTTTAGTGTGTTCGACACGAGCGCATCTTCATCACAGGGCGGGGGCGGCCACCACAATCGTTATTCTTGCTTCCTTTCCGACATGGCTGCTCTCGCTGGGCTGTTTCGTCGGAATTACTCGAGCTGGTATTCGTCTCGGAGTCTTCGGCTGGATCCTCTGTTGGAGAAGCTTGGGGCTTATTCTTAGCCAGATACGATCGGAGAGAGGCCAGATAAGGCTCCAGATCGCTCGTTATGGACACGGTAGTAGCCATGGTTGCGAGGGCTGTACAATGATTGCCTGAAGACGATGGAAGGGTTGATGGCGCGACGGACAATATATGTCTTTTTTGGAATTGTTTGGATGGGTCTTGTCGCGCGCGGGGTCTTACAAATCTGGAGCTTGAAATCAGCAAGGCGTTCTGCGATGAGTGTAGCGAATAGTCACATTCTTTACGGGACTACCTGGACGTTTGGTCAGATCCCGGGGTGCTTTCTTTTTGGAATGAATTAATGTCGAGCTATGGCGCGTCGGTATATGATCTTGAGTGTCGCTAGGGAAGAGAAAGATTTCCGGCCGGGATTACTGGCAGACTGGATGGCGCATGGGACAGACGATAGCAGTTCGCAAGGGGAGTGTACTAGGAGTACTAAGATCGACCTTCTGGCGATTTGAATATAGGTCTGAATGGGGGCAGACAGGCGACGGCAGGCGGGGCAGTCAGCAGTCAGTCGCAGTGGACAGTTTTTGATGATTTGGTCGATCGTATACAACTGTCTACAAGATGAACAGTCGGGGCGTATATGCGAAGACAGGACAAGTCGACGGTGGTTATGCTGCTAGGAAGTAGTTGAGGGGGTTCTGCGTGAGGAAGAAGAAACTGGTCAAGATCTGCATTGGGTGGCCGGTAGTGATGGTTGTTCTGTCGCTTGGGCTGTTCGGTCGGTATTGTTTTTTCTGGTCGCGAGTCGAGATTTCCCTGATTCTTTCTTTCTTTTCTTTTTGCTTCTTCTTTGCTTCTTCGCCAACTACCAGAAAAGAAAGGATCAGGATTGCAGGCAGGGTGGGAAAAGCCAGCGTTTTAAGACTGGCCGATCCCCACCACCCGCAGACTACGGGCTTAGTTCAGCTTTGCTTTTACTTGCTTAGGAAAGGGAAAGGGAAAGGTTGAGTTTACTCTGCTTAGTTAGTCAATTAGTTAGTTCTTTTTCTGCTAGTGTCGTATTTC